AAAAAAAAAACAAGTTAATAAGACAGTTACAATAGTTGACATATTGTGTGTTTTTGTCTTCTCAGGACTTATTCAGAGTATAAGATATAGGCATGATATCTTATCTACATAATATTACCACAAAATTTACTTTTTAATGAACTAAGAGAAACTAGCTATGTAACAGTCTTAACTGCACAATAGAAAAGGACAACTGGGATGAGGGAAAGGAAAAAAGAAAGGCAGAAGGGAAAAATACATATATATATACACACAAGATAGCTAAGATAATTGTGGTACTAATTCCTATTGATTTCTTGAAAGGAAGAGTTAATATTTGTTTGATCAATCACGCATACCTATATCTGGTAATCTGAGCAACGACTTTAAAGATAATAGTAAGTAATGCAACAATCATTGCTGATTTCCTATCATTTTATTTGAAATTCTGTATTTTTTTTTTAGATTTTGTGTTTTCTTGTCTTTGTTTTGTTATTTTGTTTTTATTCTTTTCTTTTTAAAATAATAAAAAAGAAAAATTAAAAAAAACCCTGATCTTTTAGAATGCTGAAAATAATAATCTTAACTATCTTGTGTATATCTATCTTTTTTCCTTTCTTCATTTCCCCTTTCCTCAACACAGTTTGCCTTTTCTTTTCAACAGTTTCTTCCCAAGTCACAATATTTATTTTACATTTCAGATCTTATTTACTTTTTGTTTTCACACTAGTGAGACAATGTGCTATTTACATATATGGGTCTGATTTCTTTAAATTATGGGTATGGTGTTGAGTGGCATCCATTTACCTATAGAAGACTCCATTTTATCTTTCTCATGGCGGAGTAGTACTGCATTACATAAAAAAACCACATCTTTTTTATCCATTCTTTGGTTGATGCACATCTGGTCTTTTTGGTAAGATTTAGCTATTACAAATTGTGCTGCTATAAACATGGGTGCATATATATCACTGAAATATGATGATTTTAACTTTTTCTGAGAAGATATCCAGAAGGGGAATAGCTGGGTCAAATGGAACCTCCAATCTCAGGTTTTTGAGGAATCATCACACTGCTTTCCACAGTGGTTGCACCAGTCTACACTCTCACCAACAGTGGAGAAGGATTATATATATATA